GTGCATGCCGACTTCTGCGGACCATTTCTCGGTCAGTACCACACACTAGTACTCATTGATTCCTACTGAAAATGGCCGGAAGTATTCCTAACCGGCACATCAACCACGTCGTTCGTGATGAGAGTACTACGAAAGTGTTTCAGTCAAGAGGGTGTTCCACAATGGTTTGTGACTGATAACGGATCGCATTTCTGTGCGGTGAAATTAAAGGCTTGGATGGACAGACTTGGCTGCAGACATTTGCGAACAGCACCACGCCATCCCTGTTCAAACGGTGCAGCGGAAAACCTGGAGAAAATGGGGAAGAGTGCCATAGCTTCTGCAAATCCAAGGACAATCTCAGATTTGGAGACACTCTTAGATAACTTCCTACTACAATACTGAAATGCCGCACATGCTACCACCAAAGAGATTCCGGCAAAACTGTTCGAGGCCAGAAGTCTTTGGTCCTGACTACGATGCCTGGATTCAAGTGACGTTGTATACCTCAGAGGAAACGACCTGAGACCATCGAAAGGAAGCATTACCCGTAAGATTGGTCGAGCCATGGTCGAGATCACAGACCAAAGAGATGGAACAGTTCACCGACGTCATACCTTACCCGTAAGATTGGTCGAACCATGGTCGAGATCACAGACCTAAGAGATGCAACAGTTCACCGACGTCACATCGATCAAAAACGAGACTCCTACTCCGATTGAGGACCCGGCCGATGAAACCCAAGAAAACCCATCCTGTAATACACCGCCAACAGCCACAGAAGACCATGCACAGCAACCCTCTACTCCGGGAACGTCTACTGACGAGAATACCCCGCTAGCACTCCGAAGACCAATCAAGAGCAAGCCAATTCGACGAGGCTCTTTTGAGGGAGGAGAGTTGTAGTGATTCGGATCTACGAGATCACGACTACCCTGGAGCAGCGCGGTACAGTTTCCGGACATTGGTAGTCAATTGACCGTGAGCGCTGACGCCAGTAGCACGTGCACAGCTAGTCAATCGACCTTGAGCAATGACGCCAGTAGCACGTGCAAAGCCTCCGGATACACGTCATTGGTGGACTGTTCCAGCCAATCAGATACAATGCAGAGAAGAGCAGTATGACGCAAGATGTGATGCAATATGAATGGTGGAAACTAAGGTAACTAATGATATTCTTTTGTGCACATATCTATTCACTTTCAATTCCTTCGCCTGTCTTATGGCCTTTTGCCTCGCGTCTCGATCCTGCGGGTTATTGCAAGTTCGAGCCATTGTGGTCTAGTGCCACCGGATTTCTATGTCGTGTTCCGTGATTACTATTGCGTAATTCGTGTCCTGAATTCTGTTCGTAATTTCACTACTACTACTTCTACGATCCCCAAAATGATTCCCCATGTTTAGTCGACACTTCTGCTTCATGAGCTTGAGTTCATGTTTCCTAGTGCCGTGTTGGGGAGCTAATGTGAGGAGACTCTGCGCTCCTATCCCTGATATTTCCTTCATGATTCTGAAGGTTTCTATCAGATACTCCCGCATTCTCCTTCTTTCTAATGAGAAACGCCCTAGAGCCTCTAGCTTTTATTCATATGTCTTCCCCCATCAGACTTCAACCATTCTGGCGACCGATCTCTGAAATTTCTCTTAATAGGGAGCATTCTTCTTGAATAACGGTGACCAAGCCTGTTGATAATACTCTAGGTGTGGTTTGAATATGGCTTTGTAAACGGGAATGAAGAATTCTGGTTGTATGCATGATAGGACGGACCGTAGTCTAAATAATTTCCCCTAGCCTTGCGCACTGTCCTCGCACATAAGTGAGACCACTTATAATTGTTCGATATCACTACCCCCAAGTCCTTAACCCGAGTAGCGGGTTCAATAGCGAACTAGTGCTCTTCCTAGTGAACTTCCAGTCGGTCAAATGACCCCTATGAGCACATGACTCTTCGTTGCGTTAAGACTTAGGTCCCATTCATTTACCCCTCTGGCTACTTCCTCTCAATCCCGCTCCAGATCACTTATCCACTTCAAACCAACCACTTTGGCGTCATCTGCAAAAATGTAGCACGATGAAATTAGAGTATTTGGCAAGGCGTTTATGTAGAGGACGAATAGAAGCGGTCCTAGTACTGAGGCTTGTGGAACTCTGCTAGTCAGCTGAACCGGTGTTGATCGTTTCCAGCCTCTCTCAAGGCTCAGCCATGTTCGGAATGGCATGCGGCTCTTTCGCTTGTCCTTTTGGGTATTTGGAATAGGATGAAAGCCGACTTGCACGCTAGACCGGTTGCACTGGTCTTTGGTTGCAAGTCTTCCAGGTGAATTCGTGGCACTTAAGCCCCAAAGTATCGTTAACTACTCAGATTTTGCACAACGGCTCTCGCATCACACGCATGAGGTGCACGCTGCTACCACACGGCAGCAAACAGAACCCATTTACGTACCAAAGGACTTTAGGTGTTGCACGCACCTGTTATTTCGTATAAACAGCACCCAGACAGCTTTGAAAGCACCGTTTTGAACAGGCAAGTCAGAAGGAAAAAACACTGCGAGAGGAATTCCTTTCGTATACTCTCATCGGTCGCGTACGTATAACATCGAACAGCATCGGTCGCGTACGTATAACATCGAACAGAATAGACAAATGAAGCGAATTAAGAAATCTTTAGTTAGAATTAACAATGTGTGTGTGCATGTGTGTGTGCATCACACACACTGTACACATCCACACATGCACACACACATTGTTAATTCTAACTAAAGATTTCTTAATTCGCTTCATTTGTCTATTCTGTTCGATGTTATACGTACGCGACCGATGAGAGCATACGAAAGNATACGAAAGGAATTCCTCTCGCAGTGTTTGTCTTCTGACTTGCCTGTTCAAATTCATTACGGGATCGAAATGTTTCAATAGGTTTTGTCTGAAAGGCAGAATACGAGGTGCAGTATCACGTCCTAGACAATGGCGCTCAGGACTAATAAGAACTCATTTTTAAACTATTTCAAGGAATATAGAAGCTCAACAGTCATCTGAGGCTCTCTTGAAGGCTATGACGTTCGAGCTACTTACCACATTTTCTGGTAGACTATTCCAGTAAGGTAGTAAGCGACTTGTAAAGAACTTGGCTCGAATGTCCAGCCTTACAGGACTTCGTTGTAGCCTTAAACTATGTCCCCTACTGCCACTTGAGGGGATGAACTTTAACATGTCCTCAAACTTNATCTTAAAGACTTCTATGAGATCCCTCCCTACTCTCCTTCTTGCCAAAGAGTACAGATTAAGCTCCTCAAGTCTTTGCTCGTAGCTCTTACCTCTTTGTCCCACCATCATCCTTGTAGTCAGGCGTTGCACTCTTTCAAGACATCCGATGTCTTTCCGAAAGAAGGGTGTCCATGCCTGAACACAATATTCCAGGTAAGGCCTGACTATGGCTTTTTATAGAGGGACGAGAACCTCGGGTCTCCTACATGTAATCGTGGAGTGTACACGACAGAGTTCCCCATCTAACTATTTTGGCTGCCCTCTGGCATTGCTGAGAGGGTTTGAAGCCGTGTGATATAACTAATCCCAGGTTCTTAACTTCCCTCTCTTAAGCTGAATTTCATTGTGTATGTCAAGTTCAGCTTCTGCTGTTAGAAGCTGACATTTAGCTAGGTTCAGCGGAAGATCCCACTTTTCGGACTACCGTATAACCGCTTGCATATCCTGATATACGTTCACTCCAGACACCTCGAGGTCATCCGCGAACCTAAAGCACAGGTTGTTCATTCTTCGTGGCAGATCATTCACGAACATCAGAAATAGCAGTGAGCCTAGCACAAAACTCTGAGGGACACCGCCAGTTATGTTGGCCGGCACCGAAAAGTGCGTACCAACATTGACCTGGAAGGTGCGATTAGTTACAAAGCAGTATACCCACCTCCTAAATTTCCCCCTAATTCCGAAGAATTGCATTTTTGGTCTAACTTCTGTTGATTTACGGAGCCAAAGGATTTGCTAAAGTCCGGGTAACAGACATCGACATGCCGTTCCTCGTCTAAGCGTCGTGTGACTTCATCGACGAAGGCAAACAGATTTGATAGACAAGACGTCCTCTTAATAAAGCCATGTTGAGCTGGCGTTAATAGCTCACACCCTACTAGGTAAGCGGTCATATGATTACGTACCATCTTTTCTACACATCAAGGACTGATGTGAGTGGTTTTCGGCCCTTTGTTTTGACCCAGATTTATGCAGATCAACTACCGTCTCTCTTTTCGAATCTCCCGATATCTCACTTTTATCTAGAGATGCCTGGAACAGCTTTGTCAGAAGCCCTTGAGGTAGAGGTCCGACAATAGCGAGATGGATCCCATCGGATCCCGCTCTCTTGAACTTGTTCAGAGATGCTAACTCGTGATAGACTTTGTCTGGTATCACAGTTATTTCGGTCAACTGTGATGTCACACTGGGATAATCGAATCTATCTGTTATACATAACGGTGCCGGCTGTCTATACACTCCCTTAAAGAAAGCCAGAAGGTTATTTGCTTTGTCTTCCTCACTTAATGCAAGACGTCCATCAGTGCTTTCTAACGTTCCAATCCCCTCTCTTGATGCCTTTTTAGATTAAACGTAAGCATAGAACCTCTTCGGGCTCAGTTTTATTTTTATCGCAATCCCATGCTCATAGTCGTATTTTCATAGCTTGCGCATGGTTTCTTGCCACCTTGTAGCTACACCATGCCTGATACCAACTGAGCCTTTTGTAACGTGCCCACTTTCGACTCTTTGTGGGGATTTTCCCGTCTAAACATGATTTCCACCACGTTGGCGGTTGTCTGAGTCGCCTGGGCCTTAGAGGTGCAAACTCCTCTGTGAGCTTCAGTAAGCCATCTTTAATTGCATTCCATCTCTCTTCGATGGTAGGCTCAGCTTTTGACGGTTTCCAGCTTGAGGGTAAGGCTGCCGCTCGAAGACTCCCTTCTTGTACATCCACATACAACCGGACCATTTTGATCCCTGACTTAGTATACTGCTCCAGTACCTTCAACTGAAAAACTGCGTGGTCTCTTCTGCCTAGGGGGCCTCTATCGTGAGAATAACGAAATCTGACCGTGCTCAAGATATAGCTAAGTTAGGAATGGAAGACCTCTGGCTGAGACGGAACCGGTTGGGTTCCCTCACATGCTGCACAAGCGCATATGAATGGATCCACTCCATTATTGCCTATCACACAGTTCCTTTAGGAGCTCGTTATTCTTCCCAAACTATTCTAGGAAGGTTTAGATCACCCACGATGAGAAACCTGTGGGCCCTTCGAAGCACCTCTTGTAGGTCACGCATCAGTTAATTATCCTTAGTCATCGTTGAATTTGGTGCCCTATAAACACAGACAATGCCTATAGGTCCCGATCCAACCAATAGGTGGCAAGCAGTAACCTGAATATTATGAGTAGTCTACTGCAACGGCCCCCCCTATTGGTGACAGGTAGTCCGCGCAGCTAAGATGACTCCATCCCTGGCCTTCCGTCGGCTTTATCCTGCCTATATTCGGTATACTCCTGTAAACCGAGGACCATATCTTTACTCTTCTCAGTGACAGCCATGACATCTGCTTCTGCTGTCCTGGTCTTTAGATTCCCCCACTTGCCTCGGAGGCTGCAGGCATTTGTTTACCAGATAGCCAAATCAGGGGACCTGAGCTTTATTTTGCTCGGGCCGTTTCTTGTTGGGTTACCCTCGGACGTAAGCCCGAGGGAGGGTCGAGTATTTTACTTAAAAGGATGGTGATTTCGGAATCACTTTCACATCCCATTTAATGATATCATTTCAATTCTGATGTCCTCAACGCCTAAATCGTACCTCTGCGAACCGTTAAAGAGTTCAACACTTGGATTAGTAAGCACTAAAACGTTTAGTG